GGAGAGAAGAGTAGTGTCTCAAATCCCAATTCCTGATAGGAATGAAAGTCTCCCTTGGAGAAGGGTGGGTAGAGAAGAGGCTAGAGATATGTGTTCTGCCTCCCTCATTGCCACAAGTGGGGCCCCCTATTCACGTGGCACTCCACTCCTACTCCTGTCAAGGACAGCCTTCCTTGCATGCATGTGGGCCCACATACCACACTACATTTGCTACATTTGGGTGCTCTGTGAGTAGGAGTATAGTTTTTGGTCGCATATTTTGCAAGCTCTTATGGTTTGGGGAGGGGTGTTAGATTTTTCTTCTTCCTAAAAACTGGAACCATTTCCTTTCTGTCCTGCTCTTCTTCAGTATACTTTCTCAGGACCATCCCTGTTGTGTTGTGTTTGTATTTATTTTGTTGAACATCTCCCAATTTTAATCTCCCAAATTTAAACTTCACTTGGGAGTTTGTGGCAGGATCAAAAGGTATGCCATGCTATATCCCAAAGAGATCACACAAATGGGAAAAGGAACCACATGTACAAAAATATTTACAGCAGCTCTTTTTGTTGTGGCAAAGAATTGGAAATTGAGGGGATGCCCATCAATTGGGGAATGGCTGAACAAGTTGTGGTATATGAATGTAATGGAATACTATTGTGCTTTAAGAAACGATGAACAGACAGACTTCAGAAAAACCTGGAAAGACTTGTATGGTCTGATGCTGAGTGAAGTGAGCGGAACCAGGAGAACATTGTATACAGTAACATTCACATTGTGTAATGTCTAATATTGATAGACTTAACCCATCTCAGCTATAATACAAGGATCTAAGATATCTCCAAAGGCCTCATGATGGAAAATGCCATCCACATCCAAAGAAATAACTATGGAGTTTGAATACAGATCGAAGCATACTATTTGCTCTTTTTTTTTCTTGTTTTGTTTCCTCTTTCTTGTGGTTCCTTCTATTGGTTCTAATTCTTACTTACAACATCACTAATGTGAAAATATGTTTAATAGGAATGTATATGTATAGCCTATATCAGATCGCGCACCATCTTGGGGAAGGAGGAGGAAAAAAATTTAAAACTCAAAAGCTTATGGAAGTGATTGTTGATAAATCAAAATAAATTAATTTTAAAAAAAGGTATGCTATGCAGTCATACACAATCATCTCACTCTCTGTATTTGCAGATCTTTCCCCAATTCAACCACGAAGACAGCCACGAAGCCATCTCCTCTTGTTCAAATTACCGGCTATATCAAATGTTAGGGGCAGGTCTGATGCCAGCATCTTATTAGTTCAGATTTGATTTGGGGATAAAATGAGAGCCTTATAAGTCATTGAACAGTTAACAACAGGAGGTTTACTTTGACCTAACATAACAAGGATATTCAATAAGGATACAGTTGTAGCATATTTTACACACACACACACACACACACACACTTCCTCATATCCACATGGAAATTAGTCTAGTCAGCAAGGTAGAGTATGGTGATTTGAGTGGTCTTCAGACATCCACCAAGTAAAAGGTGCCCTGATTCCATATCAATGGGTCTTTTTATATATTTAGTTGATCAAAAACTGTGATAAGAGAATCAGGGGCGAATTTGTCTTGGGGACAGTTTTTCCCCCCTTTTAGGGAAAACTAGTTGCTGTTGTGAGGAGACTAAGAACCCTGGTAGATATTACAGTTGTTGTAGGGTTTCTTTTTTTTGGAGGGGTATGGTCTAACTCTAAAGTTACTTGGTTCTATGATTGATTACTTCCCATTCCAATCCATCTTTCCACACCAATCCAAAATAATCTTCCTAAAGCCCAGGCCTAATCATTGTCACCACCTTGCTCAAAAAATGAAATTTGCTCCCTTTTGCCTATATAATAAAGTATGAAATCTCAGCATGACATTAAAAAAAACCCCACAATCTGCCTTAAAACTACCTTTCAAGTCGTATTTCGTATTATTCCCCTTCATTCATACTATACCCCAGCCCACCTAGACTCTTACTCGCTGTTTTCCGAACTTGACATGTTGTCTCTCAACTCTAAGAATTTGTGGAAACTATACCCCACGCTCATGTATGTCTTTCAGAATCATTCCTTCAAGGCTCAGCTCAAATACCACCTCCTCCATGAAGCCTGCCCTCATTCTCCCTCCCCACCCCCACCCCCACCTACCCTAAACCCCAGCTGTGAGGGTTGTTCTTAACCCTCCTCAACTTTGCTGGAGAACTTGGTCTGGATCTCTTGCCATCACTCCTTACATTGTGTTATACTTATTCTCATACATATTATATCCTGCCCTCCAGGAGAATACAAGTTCCTTGAGGTCAAGGCTTGTAAAATGATTCATTTTTTTATCCTCAGAGTGTATCATAGGGCATTGTTTGCAATAGCTACTTACTTTTTGTTTAATTTAATTACATGGAACCAACATTCTCAGCTGGACCTAAGTCCTGCCCTCTCTGATTGTCTAAGGTGCCCCCCACTCCAGGGCTGCTGGGGAACGGCCCACATCTACTTCTCTTCTTCTGCAACATGTTCTTGCCTGGTCTTTAGAGATTCTAGATGCCTTCAAATTTCCCGATACCCATTTCTAGCCTAGGACTGTTTCTTTACAGGTTCTTCACTGTCAGCTCATTAGCTGTCTAATCCAGATCAAAACTTCAATCACAAGCTCTAGCTTCCTCCTCTCACTCCATTACCATACTTGGTTCTTTCAGCTGTCTGCCTCCAGTCATTCTCCCTTATTTTCCCATTCCTTTCCTCTCTGCCAATCTAAGTTTCTCCCTTCACTATCCTTCCAAACTCACCTCAAAGTTCCCCTTATACAGAACATCTTTGAGTAGTCACACCCGATACTAACTGTTCCTTTATACTTCCCCTCCTCAGATTTGATGTGCTGTCATAACAGTGTTGGGAGGAAACTCTGAAATCCAAAACTTGGGAGATGTAAGTGGGACATTATTCACCTAGTGTAACATCCCTACAAGATTCCTGGACTTGAAGTGTTTGCTTACATGTCCTTAAACTGGTGACAGGGGAACAAGAAGAGGTTCAGACTCAGCAAAGAACCTAAAAACTCAAATGTTGGGAGCCACCAGTAATGAAAGATTAGTGCCGACAGAACTGGAAATAAAAAATGATGCTAATGTAAGTCCATGGGAAATAGGATTGGATGTACAAAGATTCAGTCTACACATAACTTTTTAGGACTGCAGCAAGCAAAGGTGTAAAGTCAGGTTTCTATCTATATTCATTTCCACTTGTATAATGTAAGTGAACTGGCCAATAGGTATGATTCGTTGGAGCAAGCAGATATTCCCCTCTTGGTACCAGTCCAATTGACCATATGAAAGCTGGTTGGGTAGTAGTTCTGACCATGTGTGATTCCTTGCTGAGGGGTTTGCCCTGTGTGATAATGAAGAATCCCCTTATTGGCTACTAATACAGAGAAGCTGATGACTCAGGGAATTGAAATGGGAGATGACGAAGCATAACTCATTGTTAAGACAGAACTCAGTGGATCTACAAAAGAAGCAACTTGAAACCTCGCCTCCCCACCACCTCTCTCTCTTGCTTATAAGGGAGCCTATGACTGCCCTATCTCCCGCTCAGTCTCCATGTAGCTGTGAGCACACGGTTACCTATGCCCTCTCGTGTTTGTTCTTTCCTCATCTTAAGTAAACTAATATCCCAAGGTAGACCAAGACTGTCAGAAAGCTTGCAAGTTCTGAAAGGTTAGCTCATCTTGGGAGGACTGTGAGGAGACAGCTACAGTGTCTCCAGAGCAGACAAAGTATCTGAATTGATAGTGGAGAGACACATTGAGGACAGACACAGGTGTAGAAAGACAGTAACCTGAGAAAGGAAGCAGCACCTAGGAGAAGCATCCTCATGAAAGCTTCTTTTGGTCAGACCGCAGCTACTTTTCTCTGCTGCTTCCTTCTAACTATTATGTGAAAAGGAAAGGTAGGGGATTGACCTATCCATTTCTAAAAGGTGGATGAAAGGACAGGACTCAGGTAAGTTCAGGATAGTCTTGTGTCCAGGGCATGAAAATTAGATATTTTAGGGGGAAATAGGATCCTATGTTTTCAATTTTGAAATAAGAATTTTAGACAGGAATAAGGAGGAAGCTGTGAACTGCAATCCAGGGATTGTGGATAGCATAGTCTTCAGACAACATCCTGAGATTCTGGGCTAGGGGTGGGGACAAAGTATCACCCCTGGGAAAACAGGCTTGTCAGGGCGTAGATAGGTGCATAGATAGATGGATGGATAAGATAAATAGATCATTCTTTTTAGGAGTTGGGATAGAGAAACTTGCCTGTATCTGACCTTGCTGCTACTCATGTAGACAGTATTAGAAAAGTGTGTAAGGAGGGGAAGAGGGGGGAAGGTTGAGGGTGTTGGAGTATAGGTAGTAAGAGAGGCTAATGTGGAAGAGCTGAGGGTGGGTGCCTAACTCAATTTCTGTTGGAGAGAGGATGTGGCTCTAGGCCATACTGGAAAAAAGAAGTGAGAAAGACTGGGCCCTTTAGCTCTTGGACTCTTCAGAAATCAGAAAAGAAAGGCGGGTGATGACCTCTGGGCTCTGTTGTAGGCATGGTATGGAATGAAGGTACAGTCTTTCCACATCCATTCCTCTACTTCTAATCTGGTGTGAGGCAGCATGGTATAATAGGAAGAGAAATGCAGTTGGATCAGGAGATGTAGGTTTCAGGCTCATTCTGCTACTAACTAGCTTTATTACCTTAGACAAATCAGCTCAGTGTCTTTAGCCACTCAACTTCAGTTTCCTCATCAGTAAAATAAGGATAATTATCCTTCTACTTCTCCCCCTCATAGGGTTGGTGTGAAGAAAGCACTTTGCAAGCTATAAAATACCACATAAACTTTGAATGGGTATTAGGCTCTATCACAGGAAATCTCCCTTTAGTATCTAGGATTAGGGGAATCCCAGACACCAACTGCGAGCTACCCCTTCTTTTTCCATTTTATTATTCTCCACTACCACTCCTCCAGGGAGTAGTATACCCAGTCCTGGCTTGGCTTTTCAAGAGAGTCTGGGGGGCATGCATGGGGCAAGCTGTCAGCACCCCTACTTGATACCTGCCTCTTCTTTTTCCAGTCGTTGTACATGACATGGTTTGTGGAGGACATGGGATTGCAGCTTAGAGGGCTGACTGTAACCTGGTGGAGGAACTGGGGGGAATATCCATACATGCCTGGTTCTGTATTCTCTTTGCAGCTCTGAGTCTCAGCATTATGTGATGAGGGGTTAATGGGGTACACACAAGCTTCAAGCCCCATCTTGGACTTTGCTTCCACCCTCTTGGCTGATCTTCCCAGGTATTGTTGGAAATGGACCCCAGGGAATGGCAGACAAGCTGATAACCCTTTCCAGTATGCCTGAGGCCTTCGAGAGTCCCGGTCATATTGACAATTGTCAGGGGAATTGCCAGGTTGCTGGTACTGGGAAATCTTGTCATCTCCATTGGGAAGCCCGGCATCTAGACATTGGTTAGGTTCTGGTGAGAAAACTGAGTGTTGCTGGCAGGAGCCTGGTGGGGTCAGATCAAGAGTCACAGAATCCATAGTGCAGAGGTCACAGACAGTAGGGTTCTGACAGACAGCAGAGTTCTGAGACACAGCAGGGTTCTGACAGACAGAATGGTTCTGACAGACAGGAACTTTCCAACAGACAGTAGGATTTTGACAGATAGGAGGGTTTCTACTGACAGGAGGGTCCTGATAGACAGGAGATCTCCATCTCTGCTTCAGTGCTTGAGGCCTGTGGATGAGCAGATTCTTGGGAATGATTGGGGCCAGCTCGAGCATGTTATCTGCAGAATGGGAAGGGGAAGGTGAGCAGAAGCCTAGAAGATGGCATACATCCCCCTAGTGGAGTGGGAACCATGTCAGAGCCAAGGGCTAGGTACTGGGACCATTCAGATCTCTGAGGGGGACTATGAATCCTTGAGAAAGAGCCAGGGTCTGAGGGGAGGAATGCCTGTGTCTTTGACCAGGGAAGAGGGATAAAGAAGTAGCCTGGGACCCACTCAAGACCCTGTCACTTACCTTCCTGAAAAAATTTATGGAATATTTGGTTCAGAGAGCCCTCAAAGCGGTACCGGAGCTGAGGGTCAGGGAGAAGGAAAGAGTAAACACCCAGGCATCCTGGTCCTCTCACCACTAAGGTTCCCGTAATATGGTCTCTAGCCCATAGCTTTTCCTTCCTCCACCCCTCCCCACCCAAGATTCTGGTCATCCCTCTGACCTATTCTCTACTACCTCAGGGACCCCAGTACCCAGGCCCTGACCAGAGTCGCCACATTGATTCCAATGTTGATGAAGATGATGAAGCCCAGAAAGAGCAAGATATATTCGCCTAGGTTCTGGCAGTCCTCAGGGCCAGGACCTGAACAGGAATGGGTCCCTTGCTGGAAAGGGTCACCCATGATGGGGGGTCCCAGGGCCACCTGGGGCCCCCCCAACCCCCCACCCTACTATGAACTTGTTCTAGAAGCCAGCAGGTATAGGGAAGAGATGAGTCACAATGAGATGAAGGCATCACAATAAGCAGGCTACCAATGTATTAATGGCTTCCCCCACCACTAGGCTTCTGCTATGGCCCCAGCTAGGCTAAATGTTCCCCAGACATGACTCATTCTTGCTTCACCTTTTCCCTCTTTCAAGCCTTCAAGTAGGCCAATCTTCATCTATAGACATGCCCCTCACACTTTCAACATCCCCCCTTTTTCAGGAAGCTCCTTTGGTTAACTTTACTGAACTCCGATCTCTCTTTTCCTTTGCTTTCTTAGCCTCTGCATGATGGTTTGCAGTCTTTTGGATACAGCTAAAGGCTCTTAGCTGGCTCCCTTCCTTTTGGGTAGGGGGAGGGTCCTATCTCCTGGACTGGATCTTCCTTTGATGAGGACTCTGTCCCCTTCACAGCATTAGGTTTGCACTGACTGATGTCATCCTAATTGTCCTAGCTCCTCTGTCTCCCACCACATAAGTGGCAGAGGAAAATTCTATTGATTGGCAAGAGGGCTAGTGAGATAGTATAAACAATCCCTACTTACTCAGGTACGTGTTAGACTAGTTGATCACTAAGGTCCCTTCCAATTTGGAGATTCTGTGCTTTCTAAGGACAATGATAAGCTGAATTGGGTCCAGAGGAGGATGGTTCAAAGACTATATAAAGATTATTTGAAGGGACTGAGACAATTTGGCATGAAGACGTGAAGACTGGACAAAGCTAATAGCTGTCTTCATGTCTCTCCAGTAACTGAGGAATTTTTATTTCTCTTGGCTCTAGAGGGGAGAGCTAGGAGCAAATAGATGGCAATTGTAGGAAAATTTAGGTTTGTTATGAAGATAACAATTAGGGTTATCAGAAATGGATTAGGCTGCCAAAAGAAATGATCAGTTCCCTCTCACTGGAGGCCTTCAAGGAAGAAGCTGGACAACTAACCTTGTCAAATACCTCATCAAAAGGATTCTCTCCCTAGTCCAGGAGTTAGACTAGATGGCCTCTAAGTTCCCTTCTGACTCTTGACATTCTGTGAAACTGGATTTTTTGACTATTTTTGTGTGTTTGTTGGAGGTAGGTGGAGGCGGAGCTTGGATACCTACTTCCTTCAATCCCCTCTTCTGCTGTGTATTTCCCTCAATAGAAAACTTAGTCCCACTCCCCAAACCAATCTCCCTCAGAGACCCATATGTGCACCAATTCCCCATAGCAGGCATGACTAACAGTTAAACTTTTATATTTACAATAATTCTCTTCATCATCTTTTGCCAGGTTTAAAAACGTGTACAGAGCTGCTACGGCAGGGAGTTTGTGGGCAAGGGGGGCAGGAGAGAGGTGAAGACTTAGGGGAAAATTGGGGGGCAGGTGGTAGAGTCCATGGCTGAATCATGGGATACCCTAAGTCCATACCAGCCCCTCTCGTGCCCCAATGCTAGAGACATATCTACTGGGTTTCAGGGTCAAGGTCCCTAGGATCTAGGTGTATGACTGTCCAGAGAAAATGAGGGATCAAAAGGATTAAGCTGGGGACCAGGAGGTATGTATGGTGAAGGTCTATGAGGAGGGAGGCAAATTCTAGGTCAAAAGTTGGGGAGACTGGATGAGAAGTCTAGATTTGGGGTGTCAGTGGAAGGGCATAGGCTCCCCTGCCCCCAACTGGTTTGGCACCAAATGCCCCCAAGAAATTGGAGCAAATTTTTATTCCTTTTCCTTGTTCCCTTCAAATCCTTAACCACTTTTGGTCATCTCCCTTTTCAATTCTTCCCCACTGGTGACCCAAATCCTTCTTTTTTAGGATTTTTCAGAGAAGAAACCCCATTTCACCTTACCACTTTCAAACTCTTCTTGTTAATGCCTCCCTCAGACACTCCTGGCAACCTTAGAATGGGTCTCCTTATTCCTACCCCAGTGTCACCTCCCATGTAAGCCCCACACTGTACTAGACCTCTGTTCCCTGCTGATAAATCTATTCTCAGGTCTATTTCCACCCCCAAACTCCCCACCTAGCCCAACCAAGGGCTCAAGGGATCTGAAGGAGAGGGTGGGAAAACAAAAAAAGTATTTATCTTAGGCAAGGGGAGAAAGAAATGGAAAAAGAGGAAAAATAGAAAAGAGGAAAAATTAAAACCATAAAAAGAGTTGAGGGAGTAAGAAAGAGAGAGAAGGGGGTGGGTCAGGAGAGAGGAAGGAGGGAGAGAGAGAGAGAGAGAGAGAGAGAGAGAGAGAGAGAGAGAGAGAGATTGATTTTCAGAGAAGAGGAACTGAGGCAGAGAGAGAGATGGGTAAGGGCACAAAGTTAGGACTTCTTAGCTTTGTTTACCCCATATATCTCACTGGACTCCAGAACCCCCTCCCTCCCCCTTCCCTGGGAAAGAGAGTCCTTGGCACTTGGGGGTAGGGTCTGACACACTTCAAACCCTTAAGTTTGGCACAGATGAATGCTGGTAAGAGGGGTAGGGGGAGGACTGCCCCCTAGACCCTAGTCTGGGACTTTGGTCAAACATGCATCGCCACCTTGGTCCCCACATCCACCCCAGTCCCCTGTTACTTCAACATCTCTGTGGGTGGGAAGGGGTGTGTGTATCTCCTCCCCACCCCCTAGAATTTGTACAAAATAAAGGGCAACTTTATTATGTTGTCTGCAGCTAACTCCCCATGGCTTCTCTTGGCCTTGAATTTCTTCTTATTCAATGTCCAGGGAGGAATTTAGGACTGGAGCCAGTTCACTGGGGATAGGGGTTGGGGATTAGGGGAGTCCTGGGCAGACAAGGGCATCCAGATGGAAAAACACACATCCACATGCAGTAACATGTCCACACAGGAAACATACTTTCCTCATATGACATGTCCATATGGGAAACCGCATGTCTGATGCTCACAAGCAGCATGGGTCCATATAGAACCATTCCTCTCCCTCCCACCCAATGGTAAGTCTGTGCCTACATGTGGAAGACTCATGCCTACACAGGAGAACAGGCTTCAATCAGACCAATGCCATTAGGAAAAACATGGTTCACTGTGTGTCCCTGTGATCACCTCCCCTTGGGTCGACAGGCATTCCAACCTTACATTGACAGGTGTAAAAATGCCAGCTTCCAAGGTCTCCTTTAGTGGGTGAGAGGTCAGGATTCTGGGGTCCAAACCTGGGAAGGAATTTCCTTGAGAGGGCCAAAATGTGTCCAGGGTGGCCCAAAAAATCCACACTCTGAACATGGGAAAACATGCCCCATTATAGGAAAGGATACCTCCATGTGAAAAAGCAGGCCTTAAATGTGAAAACACACTTCCACACACCATAAGACCTGTGTCCCAGTAGGAAAAGTCATCCCACAACAAGTCTAAAGGCAGATGTCCCGATAAGAAAACATATCTCCATGGACAGAGTGCGCACATCTTGATGAGGAAACTTGTGTCCACCTTAATAAGGTGCTTTGACATGCTTGGGTGGGCATCCCAGCACCCACAATTCTTCTCAACCCAACCCCTAGACTCCATGATCATTGTTGAGTCTCCCTTCCTGTCTGGTTTGGGGAGAGCTGAGCGGTGTGCACTCCCTCTCCCAATGCCGCTCCCTATACTCGGGTGGTAGAATGGGGATGGGGTAGCGTGTTGTTGTGGCTGGCAGTGGTTGGGGGAGGCAGAGGGAAGGGCCCAAAAGGGTGGAGGGTGGGGGGTGGAGGGGGTGGGGGTGGACCCAGACCACTTGGCAGCAGGGTCAGGGCGCCAGGGGCAAGGAGAGGCATGTCGTCCGGTGCCCGACGAAGGGCAAGGGTATAATCAGGTGGGCAGGATGGGCGAAGGGTCTCTCCTGGGTCCCCTCCTACACCACCACCCCGCTTTAGCTGCAAGGACACCAATTCCTCCTCAGGTAGCTCCCGGCCAGCTGTGGGGAGCAGGGGGCCCCCACCAAGCCCTCCAGAGCCTGTGCCACCAGGTGGGCTGAGCCGCCGGCATCGTAGCTCCTGTCGCCGGTCCCGCTTGTAGTACAGGGCAGCAAAGGCTAGGATGTTGAGGAAGAGAAGGGAGGCACCAACAGCCACAGTGACACTCAGCTCTGTGGAGTAGTCCCGTGAATCCCCTGGGAAGCGGTCATAGGCCCTAGGCCCTGGGTCTGGTTCAGGCTCAGGCGCAGTGGTGGCTGGTGGTGGGGGCCGGCGGGTGCCCGTGGCCCCAGGCGGTGGACGAGGGGGCCAGCGCGTAGCATAGGGTGGTAGGCGGGTGGTAGTGGATGTGATGAGTTCAGTGTGCAGATTGTGGAGGTGGGGCACCAGCTCCAGCCAGAAGGCCACCTTGTTGGCACGGTAGTTGTCCCGGACTCGGGGTTTGAGGCCTATATGCAGGTACTGCTTCTCCTTACTGTTGAACTTGCTCCACACGACCTCCTCAAAGCGGTTGGGCTTGGTGTGGATGAACTTGGTATCCTGGGGAACTGGCTGGTTGGGATCACTGCAGGGATCGGGGAAGGAGAGTGGAGGAGTGAGATTCGAAGGCCCAGAGAGAGAGGCAGTGACAGAGATAGAGATTTATCAAGAGCAAAGCGATATGTACTGTGAAAAAGATGTTGAAAAAAGAGAGACAGGTAGGAAGACAGATGGAAAACAAAGGAAAAGTAAGCAGAGGTACCATAGCTAATAGAGAGATGGATAGAGCAATATAAAAGGATTGACATACAGAGACAATCCAAAAGCTCAGAGATACAGAACAAGAGAAAAGGGAAGATTGAAAAAAAAAACCATAGCTGGTGGCAGAATAAAGTGGGAAAGAGATATGGGGATGGAAAAGAAGGAGGTAAAGTAAGATGAGAAAAAAAAGAAAAAGGAGGAAATGAGAGAAAGAGAACAGCAGTGAGCAGAGCAATTGGGGAAAGGTGAGTAAGACAGTGGAAGATGAGAAAAGAGGCAGAAACAAGGAAGAGGATAAGTATAGAAAAACACATGAGAACAGATAGGGAAAGACACAGACACAGATGAACAGAGCCAGAGATGGGGAAAGAGGTAGAAGGGGAGAAGGGACACAGAGAGAAAAATATATGGGGAGAGTCACACAAGAGGACGGACACTAAGAAAGAAATAGGAAGAAAGACACAGGGAGACAGAAAAAAAAACAGGGGAGAAGGAAAGAAGGGAGAGGGAAAAGGACGATAGTGGGGAAAGGAGGAAATAAAAGAGAGGCGAAGGAAGTGATACACAGAAAAATAAAGAATAGACTCCACCACAGGGAGGGGGAACAGGGAGACATCCTGGACCTCCCTATCCCTTGTTCCTCCTCCAAAAGTGGACACCCTGCCCTCCCTCTGCCTCCTCCCCCTCACCCAGTCTTGGCGAAGTTGGTCCAGTAGGTCATGACAACAGCGCTGAGCATGACATCATTCTTGGAGAAGTTGCAGGGAAAGAGATCCGTGGCACCCACCATGGGCACCCCAAACACGTAGGGCAGCTCATCACCATGAGCTGCATCAGCCCACTCAGGCCTGCCCTCTGCCTGGCAATGATGGTAGAAAGTATAGAAGTAGACAGGTGATTGGTAATCAGCATGAAGCTTTGCAGTAGCCACGGCTGGGGCCACCCACTGGTGGTCAGTAAAGAGAGCCAAGAGCGTCTTCCGCCTCATTTCACCATTGTCCCGGTCAGCCCAGTCTGTGTACATGAACTTGATGGTTTCTCTCAGGACATCCTTGCCCTCAGGGTAGCCATAGAGATTGTCCACAAAGTTAGAGACTGTGAAGTCAAAGGCGCTAGCTGATACACCATCCTCACTCTCTGCTGAATCCTCCACAAACTTCAAGCCCTCACCCTGGTTGACACCAATCAGCATGTCATAGTTGAGAAATTCACCCTGTTGCATCAGGATCTCTGGGTCATCTGGGACCACATCACCATCCACCACTGGACCAAATGCAATGTGGTAGCTAGAAGAAGAAAGCCAAGTCAGTCTTTAGGGAGACTTGAATTCTCCTGGGTTAGTGAGGCCACAGGCCCACCAACTCTCCCAAACACTGCTATCGAACCAAGTGAGGGTCTTTCCAGGATACTTTAGACACTGCCCCCCCCCTTCATATATATGCTCTGGTCCAATAACATTGGTCTACTTGTCCCTCAAACAGTATACTCCATCTACTGACTCCTGGCATTTTTCACTGGCTGTCTCCCATTCCTGGAATTCCCTCCCTCCTAGCTTGCCTGGCTTCCTTTAAGCCCCAGCTAAAACCCTGCCTTCTACATGAAGGTTTTCCCATCCCTCTAAACTCTAGTGTAGGGGTGGGGAACCTGTGGCCTTGAGACCCATGTGGCCCTCTAGGTCCTCAAGTATGGCCCTTTAACTGAATCCAAACTTCACAGAACAAACCCCCTTAATAAAAGGATTTGTTTTATAAAACAGTCAAAAGGCCACACCCAAGGACCTAGAAGGCCACATGTGGCCTCAAAGCTGCAGATTCCCCACCCCTGCTCTAGTGCTTTCCCTTTATTGATTATCTCCAATTTATCTTGTATATATATTTTTAATTAATTTTGAATTATCAACAATCATTTCCATAAGCTTTTGAGTTTTATCTTGTATATATCTTCCTTGTACATAGTTGTTTGCACACTATCTCCTCTGTTAGACTATAAGCTCCTTGTGAGTAGGGATTGTCATTTATATTTCTTTGCGTCCCCAAACTGGCCCTTTAGCCCAGTACCTGGCATATAGTAGGCACTTCATAAATGTTTATTGAATGACTAAGGGGATGAGTCCTGTCCCCCCAGACCCTGGGAAACAGGAGCACTGGACTCCCCCATACCGAGCTGGTTGCACATCCTGATCAACAAGTTCCCGAGAGGGTTTTCTTCGAAGACATTCCACGACCTCAGCATTTTCTTCCTGGTTACAGCCCACCTTTGCTGCCAACAGTTGTGTGTACTTGAGTGGCTGGTAGTTAACAGACCAGCTGGAAATGGCTGTACCACTCTGGGCAATGGCTTTCTGGAACAGTCCTGGTGGTGGTGGTGGGAAGTAGGGAATGGACACAGACACACAGAGGAAGGACTGCAGTGGGTGCGGAAGCTCTGCAGCACTCACCAGCAGCAGGGATGGAACTAGACAGACATACTCAGGACTTCCTAGAAGAGCTAGATGCAGCTCAGGTGAGGGGGAAGGAGCCAAGGAAAAGGAGGATGTCCTCCACGTAAATTCAACTGGGACTAGGGAGAACAGAAGAGTGGAAACCTTTAGGAGAGGGGAATCAGAGATCCCTGGGACTGGCCTAGGAGGGATAAGGGATGAAGACACTGGGTCCCCCCAAAACAACATGCCAGTACCTTCAGAGTGGTGAGAGAGAATAAGCAGGTTAACACATGAGGCTCCAGCTCCAGAGCCAAAGATGGTAATTCGCTCTGGGTCACCTCCAAAGTGCCCCACATTTTCACTCAGCCAGCGCAGCGCTTGGATCTGGTCGAGGAGCCCATAGTTACCCTTGGCAGCCTGGTCCCCTGTGCTGAGGAACCCTGGGCAGAGTCGGAGGGTGGGGAGAGAGGGAGATCTCAGGGACAGGGTGATGGAACTCCCTTAACCCTTCCTAGGGAAAAACCTCGTCCACATACCTCGTGCACTTAGGGTAGACCCACCCGTGTTTGACTAGACACACCCTTTCTGGGACAAGACACGCCCTGCTGGTCCAGAACATCCCAACCTGGGCCTCCCTTCCTCCCAGCATCACCCCATCCAGTCCCAGCAAGTCCTGCGCTCTCGACCCCACGCACATCACGCCCTCACCGAGGACACCGAGCCGGTAGTTGAGCGTGACCACAATCACGTTGCCATAAGCGGCCAGGACCGAGCCGTCAAACATGTTCCCCGTTCCCTCCATGTAGGAGCCCCCGTGGAGGAACAGCATCACCGGCTTCTTCCCCGAGTCCCGGATGTCTGGTAGGGGCGGAGCCACAGCGAGGGGTGGGGTCAAGGAGGAGCCATGGGGAGGAGGTGGGTTCGAGGGTGGAGCCACATTGAAGGGATGGGTAAAGGGCAAAGGCACAGTGAGCAGCCAGGTAGGGGCAGAACCACAAAGAGGGGTTGGGTCACAGAGAAAGGTGGGGTCGAGGAAGGAAACACAAGAAAAAAGGGTGTGGGGAGGATATGAGAGACTCCAAGAGAGGGGCAAGGTGAACACAGGTGTTCTGGGGAAGACCGCATTGCATTTGGCTCCCAATCCTACGTTAGAGGGTGAGGGGTAATTCAGAGGGAAATAGTTCTCTTTCCAGAAAGGCAGATAGAATGAGGGTGCCGGGCCAGAAGAGAGGGTGAGGTGTAGAACAAGACCAGGGTTACCGTCCCTGGAGGGCCCTTAGTCCCAGAGAGAACAAGGTGGCCCTTTGAGTAATAGGGACCCCAATAATGTATGCACACAACCTCAGACCCAGGCAGGTGCCTCAGAATCTACGCTGCCCAAATCCAGACCTGGTGCCTTGTGCCTTGCTGATCAGGGATCTCCTACTGTTTCCTCATACCCTGAGGCCCAAATCAAAAGCAGGGCTATGGGAACCAGCTGAAGGGTAATCATATAATCTAGCAATGGTTAGGGACTATCTGTGAGTTCGAAGATCTACCACTCCATGGCAGGGCATCTCCTACCCAACCTCCCATTTGAATCCCTCTTGCACCCTCTCCTCATTCCTTTGTTGAACCCTTGTTGCTAAAATGGAGCAGAGCCTTTTGGAATGGGGATCCAGTAGGAAGTTACAGGCTGTTCATTTCCATAGGCCTCAGCCCTCTACTGTTTCCTCAGGAGTATGCAAGGCAGGGAGGGGAGGGTGTCAGGTTCTGGGGTTTTGCGGGGAGGGTCAGCCTCCTCCTCACCCTAATTCCTTTCTAGGGCATCTCCCTAGTTGTCATGGCAACACCCCCAGCCTAATTAATTTGGCTGAGGGAGTGTTGGGAAGAGGCTATGAATGGGCTAATGAAGTCATTGAGTGTCCAAACTTCATCAAAAACCCAAGGGATAATGTTTGTCAATCAACGTACATATCTTACAGTGCTATGATTATTTCTCTTGTTCACCCTCCACCCCTAGGGAATTGACTAGAGCCTAGGAACTTTAATTCTTCCCTCTACTTTAGGGATCTCTGAGATATGGCACCTCACAAATAGAAGGGGCCAATTTAACATCAGAGGATTCCTTCCTCCTCTTCACTCACTCCCCAAAGTTATACAAGCTAACAACCGAGATAGAGATAACTGTTATCTAATTCTAGGACACCTGCCAGAAGAGCCCAGGAGCTTCCTCAAATCCTGAATGCCCTTACCTATCCCAGAAACCTTAGCACACCTCTCCAACATGCTCTTCTCTCCTCTGCAGGGACCCTATTCCTCCCCAGACCCTTGGTACTCCACAAAAACAGACATGAAATCTCTTAAACCTCTGTACTTGACAAGTCTCAGGCATACTTGCTACCTGGAATTTTTATGTACCTCCTTTTTTAAGTCCCCTTGTTAAAACTTCCTCCAACTCCTAAAGTGCACTTCCTCACAATTTCCTGTTCATCTTCAAAAGGTTGTGGAATCTTCTCCCTTGCTCTTGTGGAAGACTGAACACACTCAGAGCATTTCTCATTGTCTATCCTTTCCTTTGTCTTTCTACCTCCCCTCTCCCAACTCTTCATCCTAGGTCAGAGAAGCATAGAATGTCAGAGCTGGAAGGGATCTTAGAGACAACTTCTAGTCAAACCCCTTCTTCAACAGAGAAGGAAGCAGAGGCCCAGAGAAGTGACTTTTCCAAGTCTACACTGTGTCTGAGTTAGTGACAAAATTAGGCCTTCTGACAACTCAGGCCTTCTGATTTACATGTCAGTGCTCTTACCAGTAAGACCCTCCTGCTCTTTCACTTGCTATCTAGCCCCAACTCCTTTCCCCCAACAATCCAACATTTCCAATGAAGAACACAGACCCTCCCATCTACCCAAATTCTTGTGTCACAGGATAGTTTCCTTAAATCAGTTACCTTCTCTTGAAAGTCACAGCTGTACCCTGTGTTCCTAGTGCTGATCCCCTCTCCCCAACATGCCCTCCCCAGCCCAGCACCACCACTCTCCCAGTGTGGGGGGAAAGGGGAGGCAGAGGGGTGCAAGGCAGGGCAGGGAAGGGTAGGGGCAAGGGGCAACAAGAATTCAAAAACAACAATGACAACAAAAAAGAGATCAAGAAAGAAGAAAGAAAGAAAAAACCCCAAAAGCAAGAAAATCATGGGCCAGATTCAACAAGAAAAGAAAAAACAAAAACTTTTTTGGGGGGGGAGAAAAAGAAAAAAATCATTTTCATTTTCAAAATTTTGCAGCAAAATTTGGGTCCCGTTTTTAAAAAGTTTCCACTTTTTATGACTGGCTTCAAATGTCACTGTTATCTGAACCTCACTTGTTTTTTTCCAATACTTCAAATTGTGTCAGTTTCTAATTTAAAAAAAATTTTTCCATTTCCCCCAACTCTCCCTAATTTCCAATTTTCTCCAAATTTCCCATTTAATTCAAAATAAAACCCCTCCAAGATTTTGCATTTCCAAAGATGTCTAAAGTACCAAAGTTTTGCCAGTTTCTTCTAAGTTCTAAAAATATTCCAATTTTCTTGATTCTTTTCATGATTCTAACTCTAATTCCTTTGATGGTTTTTATTAAAATCTTTAAGAAATTATTGTTTTTCATTCATATTGTCAATTGGTTCCAAAAGTTTATACAATTCATTTTTTGTAAATTAAAAAAAAATCCCTGCTCATAATCCTTTCCTTTCCTTTCTTTTCCTTTCCTTTCCTTTCTTTTCCTTTCCTCTCCTCTCCTCTCCTTTCATTTTTCCTCCTTTCTCTCCTTTCCTCTCTGCATATATGTGTATGTCTGAGTGTAAAGAATGATGGTAAACGGACCTTAGGGACCATGAGATTTTAGTCTAGGTTGTTTTGGGTATGGTGGGCCAGGGATCCTGTGTGTCATTGTCGGCAACCACATGCAGCAGCGGCATTTTAAAAAATCTACCTGTGTCTGGCGGGGGCGGATTGAGCGTCGACTCGTCACGTTTTTTTGTGATCGGACCTAAGACCGGGAACACAAAACAGAGAAAAAAGGACAATTTTGTGGGGAAAGATGGGGGGGGGGTCGGGGAGGTAGTGGATGGGGGAGGGAAGGAGAGAAAGCAGAAAAGGGGGTGGGGTGGGAAAGCAAGGGGAAAAAAACGAGCCAAAAAAGCAAAATGTGTTTGCAAGAAAAAGAAACCAAGAAAAGATAAAAATGCTTCTACATCCCAATTTTGCTCCCCCCACCTCGGGAAAAAAACACACCCAAAAAAGGCTGTTTATTTTTTTTTTGTGGGGGTGGGGTTGGAGGGGGCAGGTGTGGCTAGGCCTGGGGTGGGAGGTAAGTGGGTGGGCTTAGACCTGTCATAAGAGATATATTCAACTTGATTGGATGGGACTTGTTTCATTCAGTCTGTTGGCTCATAGCTGGAAAATTAAATGATGTTAGGAGGTGGGGCAACAGGGAGGAAAGGGGGAACTCTGCCTAGGAGACCCTGCTCCTTACCCCCACCCCCAATGCGAATGTCACCTTTTACTCTCCTTTCCCAAGTTGGATTGGATGGGCATGGGGGAGAGTGAAGCAAAAGGAGACCCAAGCATTTCTATCCAAGAGGGCAGAAGGCAGGAAGCATGACCCTGTTCCTCTGTACCATTCGACCAAGGTTGGTTAGGGTTCAGGTTTTACTTCTAGCATTTACCTCCCTTCCTGACTCACAGGCCTGGTTTCTCCAACTTCAGATCCCCAACCCAAGTGCCCCTTTCTTTAAGAGCCCCCTCTTCATCTCAAGGTGGGATAAAAGGAAGAAATGGATAATCTAAGTTTTGTCCTTTTCCCTGCTCCTTTCAGGGATCTAAGCCATTCCTCTGCTCCCTCTCAGGGATCTAAGCCATTCCCTGGGGGACCAGTTCACCCTCTTCCAATATACTGCTCTCTTCCAGGAGAAAGTGGAAATTGTCTACTGGAGTAGTTCCTAACCCTAAACTTCATACCCTACTTTCCATCCCCACCCACTGTGTCATTCCCAAACCCCACACTCTTAGAGACCCAGAACCTGGAAGATGCAGGAGCCTATTTGTCCTGGGAGGGAGTGCATGGAATGAGAGAGGTACTTAGGGGACAAGGAAGGACAAACTCCAGAGAAGAAAGGGGTGGAAGTAAGGACTAGAGAGGAATAGAAACCAGGTTCCCAAATCCCTGGGAAAGCCAATCATCTAGCACCATGATTAAAGGGCTGGGGCTGAGGTCAAAAGAGACCACAATTCTGGGTGGATTTCTCCAACCTAAGAACAAAGTACTCTCTGGTGGTAGAGTCGGGAGTAGAACCACTTCCTTCTACAGGACAAATAGGTTTGCTCTAGTATGTCAGTGGAATACCTTTTGGAGGGAGTGCAATTTCTGTATCTGAGTGATATTGTTGGGGCAAAGAGAAATGTTGGGTGGTAGTTTGTGAGGCATTGGTGGGATGGATTGTATATGGGAGGAAGTTGAGACACTTTTAAAGGAAGTTTTGCCATAGAATATATGCATGAGGTTGGGGTAGATTCTATGTGTCTAGGTGGTAGATTGTATGTCTGGAGCAGTAAGTTATGAAGATGGTGGAGATATTCTTGTTGAATTGGGAATGATGGGGATAAACTGCCTATATGTGTATGAAGATTATTAGGGGTAGATATTGTGTGTGTATGGGGGTGTTTGTGTGCAAGGGGATTGATGGGTACTGTGGGAAGCAACATTGGGGGGTAAATTATATGTGTCTCTGGTGTGAGTGGTGGATTGTGTGTCTGTAAGGGGGATGCTAGGGATTCTTTGTATGAATATGAGATATTAGGGATAAATTGTGTATGTGACTAAGTGGATATCAGTGGTAAACAGTATGTGTTCTGGGAATGTGGGGGAATTGTTTATGTGTGTTGGGAAATAAATTATATTCATGTATGGTAAGTATTAGAGCAGATTGTGTGCATACAGGGGAATACTGAATAGCAATAGTTTATAGGGGACTGTGATGTATGTTTAAGGAGATATGAGGGTAGATTGAATATTGAGGATAAATATTGAATGTGGAGGATAAATTGGACTTGCCTCACAGGTAGTATTGGAGGGGGTGTAAATTAAATAGTGTATATGGGAATTAGATTTTGTAAATGCATGAGATTAAATTATGTGAATGCATAGGTAATTTTGGGAATAGACAATCTCTTTGGAGGGATTGTCAAAGATAGTTTGTGTACGTGTGTCAGGGGTGTTTCGGACAGATGATATGTGAGGGTTGGGGTGGTTTATGTCAGGAAGTCAAAAAGCATTTATTTAGGTCTTAATCTAGATGTTTGGAAGTTGGATTGTCTAGAGAGCATTTAGAGAGTGAATTGTGAATGTTCAGCTAGGGGTCAGTGGGGTTTGGCCCTATGACATGGTATTTAGAGAGTATTTTCTGCTTCCTTGATGAAGAGCGTATTGAGGATTGATTTTTGAGCCCAGGGTTGGTATTTTCTCTTAAAGGTAATAATCACTGGGAAGTGTCTGATTCAGGGGGTTCCTTGATCTTGGAGTTGGTAAGTAGTTTAGAAAATGCCTATGTCCTTCAGGAATATTTGGCTGGGGAGGCAGGACAGTTGGAAGCAGGTAGAGGAGGAAGGAGAGGAAAATGGGAAGGGAGAAAGGTAGGAAAGCATCCTCATGTAGAAAAATCATCTTTATAAAATGCTGTGATTTTCTCTTTAGGATAGTAGAGGGCCCAAGTGGCCAATATTTGTTTATGAAGTGAGTATACATGGAAGTGTGGGGGCATATGTGTATAATATGCTCTGGGAGTGTTGACGAAGGTATGTGTAATAATATGCTTTGGGACTTGCTGTGTGATGCATGTATGGGAAATGTTTGAGTTTATTTTCTGAGATAGGCATGTGGTGTAAGACATGTATGGGAACACATAAGTATATCTGAGAGAGAGAGAGAGAGAGAGAGAGAGAGAGAGAGAGAGAGAGAGAG